GAAAGAGTGACTTCTGTTTATATTGGAACTGAGTGTCAAAACAAACAAAAAGTAAAGGATAAAAGACCGTGTGTGTGATACATTTAATAGACATATTTTCAAGTCCCTTTATCAAAAATAGTTACAGAATAACCAACCTCATATCTTGTTCTTACTTCAATAAATCATCTTTTGTTCAAGCTTATCCCCGAATTTAGTTCTGTCTTTCCTCAGGACCACATAGATCACTGAAAAGCCCCCGACTCTAGGTCACCTTACCAGCAAAAGAAACAGAGAGAAGGTTTGGAAATCCTTAAATTCCTGGTGGCAGCAAAATCTACCCCGTTTACAAAAGCAAAGAGCACACTTAAAGGGAAAACCAGTCCTCCCTAAAGAGAGGACGCCACACAAGCGCTTGATAAAATCTCTTTATCTTTCGAATGTAGATCTCGGTAACCATTCATAACGAAACATATTATGGTGCAAGAGGGACTGTCCGGAAAGGTATCCTCTAAGAATCCCGTCTGTTTCTACATACATTACGCCTGGCTTCCCACGTCTTCCTCCTCCTACAGCCAGCTTGTGTGCAGAAACATCACCGGGGCCATCAGGTCTGGCTTCCAGCGTGTGCTTGCGGCTCCTTCAAGACCAGCGGCAGACAGCGGAAACGGCACAGGAGAGTCCTCTCAAACCGGAGCTGCGCAAAGGACTTCCCGTTGTTTTGCGCCTTCCTCATGACGGGGCATTCTGAAAGATTTTGAGAAATGTTGGGAGCGGCAAGTAGATAAGCGAGCCTGGGGCATTTCTGTGTAACAGCCTGGATTGGCCGAGGCCTCTCTGTTTGGTTCCTCTCCCAGAAGGCTTTGCAGACTCTGCTCCTGTCGTCTCTTGAGCCTCTCTCTAGCCTGACAAGGCACTCTGCTCTAAAAAGAATGTTTTACATTTCTCTAGGTCAGTGGTTCTCAACCTTCCTAATGCCGCGACCCTTTAATACAGTTCCTCACGTTGTGGTGACCCCCAACCATAAAATTATTTTCGTTGCTATCGTAAGACCATTGAAAATTTGTGTTTTCCCGATGGTCTTAGGCGACCCCTGTGAAAGGGTCGTTCGACCCCCAAAGGGGTCGCGACCCACAGGTTGAGAACCACTGCTCTAGGTTAATCGTTTCACCCGCTGTCATGACCCCAGGGGGTCTCCGCCTTCCGCTGCCACCACCCTGGACTTATGGTCCCTTTTGAGAAGGCCCAGGGTACCCCCTCAAGCCCATCCAACAAGCCCCTTTACAGCCGAGAACTAACAGGCGTGACTGACCCGGGCAGAGAAAATAATTAAACAGAAAGGGTTTATTAAAAACAACACTGGGGCATGGAAAACAAGACAAGGCAAGGTGCTTAAAAAGGGTGTAACGGTGTGAAAGGCAAAATAAACATAATCTAACGCCGCTAGCTGTTTCTACTTCCAGGCCCATAGCCTGCCTAGCACGCTGAGCCCAGTGGAGATCTTTTCCTCTCTCCCAGACCAGCCTGCCCCCCCACAGTCCAGGCCGCAGAGAGAGAGACCGAAAAGAACGGAGGGATCTTTGTCTTCCCAGACCAGCCTGTCCCCTCAGTGAGACTAGGCCGCAGAGAGAGAGAAGGAACACCCCTTTTCCCACAGTTAACAGCGAAGACCGACTCTCCTCACAGTATAGAACAGTCTCCTCACAGAATCTCACTCTCTGATTGGCTGTAGCCCATTGCTAAGCCTTATGGGGACTGTAGGCTGCCTGCTTTCACTGCCATGCGGGTCTCTCCTGGGACCAGGCCGCACCAGGCCCTGCTCCCAGTCCTGCACACCATATGCGGGTGTCATGACCCCCTGTGGGTTGCCACCTTCTTCTGCCACCACTCTGGACTTAGGGTCCCTTGGGAAGGACCAGAGTACCCTCCCAAGCCCAACCAAAATGCCCCTTTTAAGCTGAGAAACACAGGCGTGATGACCAGGCAGAGAACATTAAACAAATGGCTTATTAATACAGTAATGGGGCAAGGAAAACAAGACAAGGTGGTTTGAAATATATAACAGTGTTTAAAGGTAAAATAAACAAATCTAACGCGGCTACCGATTTCACTTAACTGGTTACTATTCAAGGCCCACAGCTTCTTATGCCAGGCCTGTGCCTGTACTCACTCTGTCCCAAGTGAGGGGTCTTTCTCTCAGACCAGACTGTCCCCTCAGTTTTTAACTCTGTGAGAGGAAAGACCACAGTAGAGAAAAGAACACAGTTCCACAGCCCACAAAGTTTATGTCACATCTCCTCACACTATCACTATCAACCGTCGTTAAGCATTGTGTATTTGTAGGTGGTGACTGCTTTCCATTCCCACACAGGTGTCCTGGGGCCTAGGCCTCTAGGCCTTGTCTCCCAGTCCTACACAGATCATGACACATGGTGTCAAAGATTCCTAGTGAGAAGGTTTGTAGCTTCTGACCTACAACACACTTGCTAAAACAGGTGTCTGTGCTTCTGATAGGGTCACAATAAAGTTTACACATAACATCCTTGACTGTCTAGAGTAACTAGGGTATGAGTTCAGAGTAAAATTGTTCTATTTTGATATTCTTCTGCTAAAAATGTGTTAACTTATGTCATCCATGTGGGTTGAACCTATGGGTACTGAAGGTATGAATTAATGAAGACTTCTTTGCTCTGGGCTGGTCATCCATCAGCTCTCTCTGAGCTCTTGTTGACTAGACCAGGGTGCTCTGTATCTCATATAGGAACAAAAAGCTTTAAAAGGGGATTAGATAGATTCATGGAGGATGTCTATCAGTGGCTACTAGCTGTGGTGACTGAGGGGAACCTCCACATTCAGAGGCACTAATCCTCTGAACCCCAGAGCCAGGAGGCAACATCAGGGGAAGGCTTTGGCCTCTCTGCCCTGTTGTTGTTCCTCCAGAGGAACTGGCTGGCCACTGCGTGAGACAAAATGCTGGACTAGATGGACCACTGGACTGACCCAGCAGGGATCTTCTGATGTTCTTATGAAGGCCTCGGCCTCTGTGCCATGTTGTTGGCCCTCCAGGGGAACTGGTTGGCCACCGCATGAGTCAGGATACTGGACTAGATGGGCCACTGGTCTGATCCAGCAGAGCTCTTCTTATGTTCTTATGAAGGCCTCAGCCTCTCTGCCATGTTGTTGGCCCTCCAGGGGAACTGGTTGGCCACCGCATGAGTCAGGATACTGGACTAGATGGGCCACTGGTCTGATCCAGCAGAGCTCTTCTTATGTTTTGACCAGCCACTGGCTTAAAAAGCACAAGGTCGTCTGTCAGTGTTAGCAACCATCTCCCTACTTATCACAACAAGAATTTACCATTCCTTTCTTCCGGATGATGAAGATATGAATGTCCTCGCTCCGATACTCCTCGTCATGCTTGTCTAGGGGAACTTTTTCCAATTCAAAATCCTTCTGAAGAAGCTACAATAAAACACAACATCGTCAGAAACAAAAGGTGCAAGGTCCTTGAACCCACGGGGTGCCCGTTTCTCTCACAACAACCCGGCCAGTCTGTATAATCCTGAGACCGCAACCCTTGAGATTTCGACCGCTGAATCTTGATACAGAAATCCTGCCCTCTGCTTCCGGCACGGGATCCAGCCTGGCTTCTCTCCGCAACAGTGAGAAGTCCGTCAGGAGACAGAAAGATGACTGACCTCAAAGTATCTCCGCTCCACTTCTGGGTTTTTCCCCATCGTTCTTTCTTCATAGCAGCAGAGGATTTGGGTCTCTGGGCCAGAAAGGTCCTTCAGCGTCTTGATTAGTGGCTCCAACGACTGCCCACAAAACAGACACAGATTTGACACTTCACATCATTTCACAGTTGACAATACTGTGGTGGGATTCCATCATGTTCACTACACTATTATATAATGGTAACGGAAGGCAAAAACAAGTGTAGTTAACAGACTCAACAATTACAACTTGCCAAAAAAGCTGAAGAACATGTAATAGAGAATAATGTATACAAAGTAGCTACAATGAAAAAGTACAAAATGTAAACAGTCGAGAACTGGTAGGTGCTACAATGGATAAACGATGGAGAACTGCTAAAGAATTCGACGTTGTGTCCGGATGTTTGATAACAACGTTTCAAAGTTCATCCCTCATCGGGGTGTTCCCTTTAAGCTGCTGTGGTTTTCATACTCGTACCGACAGGCATTGGGAACAGTCTGTGAACAATCCAATACAAAATCGGACGCCAATCTCCAACATGCAGTCAGCTTCAGCAGCTTCAGGCTTGCAGCGGGACCAGCAGTGTCTCATGACCCGTGGGTTCAAGCTATTCTCTATTACGTTTCACTAGGAGAGTTGAGAGCATTTACTCCATTTTTCTGCGCAGGATTCTTGGTGTTTCCAACTCAGTGTCGCTCTTTGCTCTTTACAAGGAGCTGGGTCTTCACTTGGTAGAATCTCGGGCTTGGATCATTACAATCAGATATTGGCTTCGGCTTCATTTTCGATCTCCCCCTGCTAGCCTAATGGCCCAACTCTTAACTGACCCCTATATATCAGAGTGGTCACAGGCCATAGTGGAAAAGGTGGGTACACTAGGTATTGACCTGGAACCCCTCTATAACTGTGGTGAGGTAGCAACCTTGCAGGTGATTAGGAGGAGAATTTGGGATATAGAGGCGCAGATCATTAATGTCGGTAGTTTCGGAGTTTGCTCTCCTTACTCATTACCCCGCCTTCCTTCACATACCTCCATGGTACCGTATATTGCTAACCTGACAATCCCAGTTTTTAGGAGGGTTTTTATGCTTGCAAGGTTCAACCTTTTCCCTTCAGTAGTGGTCTCAGGTAGATACAGGGGTGTCCCGTATAAGGATAGACTTTGCAACTGTAATCTTGGGGAACCCGATTCTATTACCCATATCCTTCTTCGATGTCCTAAATATTCCGTTATGCACAACAGTCTGATTCGCCCTCTTTTCCCTTTGCAGAGAGATTTTCTGGATGGGGATTTAAATTTTCTTCTACCAGACAAGAGCCCGGCAATAACACTATCTGTCACTGAATTTTTGACCTACGTATGGAAGTCAAGAGTAATACTCTGTAAATCTTGTAAACCATGTTAGGATTGCTTTGTATCTTGGGATCAGGAATACTGGTCGATGTTGCTTTTGTACCTATCCTTTAAACTCTGTCCTTTGTTTGATTACTTATACTATGCCAATAAAGGTTTTCTGGTTCTATTACGTGTTCTTCAGCTTTTTGGCAAGTTGTAATTGTTGAGTCTGTTAACTACACTTGCTTTTGCTTTCTATTATCATAATACAGCAAAGGGCCCCACCAGTATGTACCCAAAGGCTGGACCCTTCCAGTTCCCTTCTATTTGGAGGGTCAGTTCACATGATCAGTTACCTGGGATAAACGCCCTCTCATACACAAGTCATGCAGCTGCCTTCTACTGAATCAGACCCTGGGTCCATCCAGGTCAGTCCTGTCCACTCAGACTGGCAAGCTGCTCTCCAGGGTCTCAGGCGGAGGTCTTTCATTATCACCTCCTCCCCGATCCTTTCAGCTGGAGATGCCGGGGATTGAACCTGGGACCTTCTGCGTGCCCAGCAGAGGCTCCACCTCTGAGCCCTGCCCCCTTCCCTGACAGTCTTGCACACATGCAGCTGCCTTCTACTGAATCAGGCCCTTGGTCCATCCAGGTCAGTATTGCCTACTTAGACCGGCAGCCGCTCTCCAGGGTCTCAGGCAGAGGTCTTCCACATCACCCATGGCCAGATCCTTGTAACTGGAGATGCCCTGCCATTAGGGGAGCGGTGGCACAGTAGGTATATCCCACTGTCTTAACATCCGAACTGTGTTAGTTCAAGCCCTGCGCTGGTGTGAGCAGCCAGCCTGTTGTCCCCAGCTCATCGTCCACCCAGCGATTCGAAAGCTTCGGCGAGTAGATAAAATGGGAACCACGCCTTAAAGAGGGTGGGCACGCCAATCTCCCTTGTGGGAGGGTGTTAGCTGACGGTCGGGACTTCCTGGTCGAGGTTGGGAAAAGGCGAGAGAACTTCTCGGCTACAAAAATCCCTGCAGTGGATGTTTCCGGCCAGGCGGTGGCAGTGTGGCGATTGACATACGGGTCCTGAAGCCTGGTCTACAAAGCAGCCGTTCGGAAAATGACCGAGCCAAGCCAGAAGACGTTTACACCATGCAGTGACGGCGTGTGCAATTAAATGAATATATGTTGTCTTCCCTATCCCCTATGAACATTGTTAGTCCCCTGTCTAAAATGTGTAACTGTATATCGCTTTGAGCCCACTGGGGAAAGCGATTAATAAATTGAAAGTATTATTATTATTATATAGTCACACACAATTACTTTCTCGAGTGACCTAGCCATTCCCAGGGCTTGCTGAGAACGAATGCCACATTTTTCTGCTTTGCCAAACTGAACACACATGAAGCTGCTTTATACTGAATCAGAGACCCTTGGTCCATCAAAGTCAACATTGCCTACTCAGACTGGCAGAGGTCCCCCAGTGTCTCAGACTGAGGTTTTCCCTGTCACCTACTGTCTGGTCCTTTTTAACTGGAGATGCCGGGGATTGAACCTGGGACCTTCCGCCTGCCACCTAAACCCTCCACTTGAGCCTTGGCCCCCTCCCTGACAGTCTTGAAGACATGCAGCTGCCTTATACTAAATCAGACTATCATTCCATCCAGGTCAGTCTTGTCTACTCAGACTGGCAGTGGCTCTCCAGGGTCTCGGGCGGAGGTCTTTCCCATCACCTCCTGCCTGGTCCTTTTAACTGGAGATGCTGGGGATTGAACCTGGGACCTTCTGCATGCCAAGCAGAGGCTCTGCCCCTGAGCCACAGCCCCTCTTTACAGCTCTTCAGGGTCTCAGGCAGAATTCTTCCACATCACCTGCTGCCTGGCATAACCCGTCATCAGGATGCCTTCTTCCAGCCATGAAGGAGAGAGAAATAATTTACCTCTTCATAGTAGATGCAGTCTGCCATCAGTATATAATCCGGCGCCGGAAGGAAGTCTGTTACGTCCTCACCCCTACGCAAGAGAAAGCAGGGGATGTAATTCCCACAATACAGAGGAGAACATCTGGTCTCTTTCTGAATTCCCCGCCTGACCCCATCCCGAAGGCTTAGGTAGGGTACAGCTCTTCAGAATACCAACAAAGTGAAGTCAGTTTAAATGAATAAGAAGAAGAGATTGGATTTATACCCCGCCCTTCACTACCCAAAGGAATCTCAGAGCGTCTTACAAACTCCTTCCCCTCCCCACAACAGACACCCTGTGAGGTAAGTGGGGCTGAGAGAGCTCTGACAGAAACTGCTCTTTTTCAAGGACAGCTCTGACAGAACTATGGCTTGCCCAAGGTCATCCAGCCAGATGCAAATTGAGGAGTGGGGAATCAAACCCGGTTCTCCCAGATTATAGTCCGCGCACATAACCACTACACCAGAGGGGGTCTCAGAGTGGCTTACAGACTCCTTTTCCCTTCCCCTCCCCACAACAGTTGCCCTGTGAGGTAAGTGGGGCTGAGAGAGCTCTGACAGAAACTGCTCTTTTTCAAGGACAGCTCTGAGAGAACTACGGCTTGCCCAAGGTCATCCAGCCAGGTACAAGTGGAGGAGTGGGGAATCCAACCTGGTTCTCCCAGATTAGAGTCCGCGCTCCTAACCACGACACCAAACTGGCTCTTTAAATGAAGGCATGGAACAGATGCCCTAAGCCAGGGGTCCCTGACCCTTTTGTGCCTGTGGGCCCCTTTGGAATTCTGACACACAATGGCTGCTGCAGGAAGCAAAGCCAGACAGAAAATGGCTCTTGCAGCTGACCTCCAGTCACACAGTGTAGATCCCTGTGCTGTGGTGGCAGCTCCACAGCCAATCCAATCTCCAGTGGTCAGTCATAAGAACATAAGCCAATGTTGGAATAGGCCAATGGCCCATCCAGTCCAACACTCTGTGTCACACAGTGGCCAAGGATACCAGGTGCCATCAGGAGGTCCAGCAGTGGGGCCAGGACAAAATGCTTCATGCACCTCCCTAGAATTTCAACTGAAGTCATCAAACCTTCCCACCTTTAATGTATTTTTACAATTCAGGTGGAAGTTGATAGCATCACTGCATCAAACTTCGATCCCTTTTCAAAAATCATGGGTGTTCTCATTAACATCTGGCCGGAATCTCTCTCTTGCTGCACACACGTCCAAGGAGTTATCACGAAACCCTTCTGCACCAGCTGTACTTCTCACAAGTAACAGTGCAGGCTGTAAATTCCATGTGTTAATCACTCTTTGGGCACAGGCCCTGCCCACTTTCTAAAAAGAACCTGGCAGGCACCAAAAAGGGAGTCCGCAGGCACCATGTCATGGGAACCCCGACCTAAAGGAGAAGCAAGGTGGGGTTTTATGTTATCTAGCTTTGTTACGGCAGGGAAGATTTATTTCACTTATTGAACTGGGCACTGACGAAAAAAACACGGAGAACTGGGGTGCGGTCTCCCGAGGGAAGATAACGTGCAAAATAAGGTTTATACGAACCATTTCAGTACCTTGGCTTGAATTGAACCGGTGATAAGATGCTGATTGTTCTCAATGTTCATTTTCAGCAAATCTTGAACTTCTTCGAGATCAGTAACTGTAACATTTGCCCTACAGAAGAAGACAAAGTATGAATTTTAACTTTGGTCCACCCTTTATACTCATAAGAAGAAGAAGAAGAGGAGGAGATTGGACTTATACCCCACCCTTCACTTGGAGTCTCAGAGCATCTTACAAACCCCTTTCCCTTCCCCTCCCCACAACAGACACCCTGTGTGGTGGGTGGGGCTGAGAGAACTCTGACACAAACGGCTCTTTTTCAAGGACAGCTGTGCCAGAGCTTGTGACTGACCCAAGGTCACATCAGCAGGTGCAAGTGGAGGAGTGGGGGAATCAAACCCGGTTCTCCCAGGTTAGAGTCCGCGCACTTAACCACTACACCAAACTGGCTCTCATAAGAAAGCACAACAGACACACGCTGAACATCTGGACCCTTCATAGAGGCTTCTCTCTTGGCTTTACCTTTTGAAGCAAAGTAGATTTATTTATCTAAAATGTTTACATCTCGCCTTATTTCTTGAGACTCAGGGCACCTAACAATGCACTAAGTTGCAAGGATGTAAAATGTGAGAGTCCGTTAACAAAATAAAAACAATGCACATATGAAACACACTCAGCCAGATCTGCTGAAACATTTGTTAATGGACTTGGGGATAGAACTGTCTTGCACACTTTCTTAAAGCAGAGGCGGAGGCACAGCGACGTCATCCAAAGGCGCGGCGGAGCCTGAAGGACGCAGCCGGACCGGAGGAGGACGTCACCTGTGTATCAGACCGCCTGACTGCCTAAGCGCCAGGAAAAAAGAACATCTAGCTGCCGGGAATGGAGCCGAAAAAGAACAGCCGAGCCGAAGAGACATCATCAGACTCCACCTGGGTGCTGGTAGGCAGCCCCACCCATAGAATCAATGTGGCCTTAGTTAGGGTTCAATGTGACTAGCACCCCACATGTAAACCGCCCAGAGACCCCCACGGGGGTTAGGGCGGTATATCAAATTGAAATAATAATAATAATAAATAATAATAATAATAATAATAATAATAATATGTAGCTGACGAAGGCGCCCTCCGCACCCGCTATGGTAGGCCATTCCAGAGAACGGAACCTACTACGAAGAAAAGCCTGTGACCTCGCGGTTACCGTACAGATGATCCTAAGGGTCTGTTGCACTGTTTGTTTGTTATTGATTACATTAGGCTTTTATACTGCCTTCTCCACAAGTGGGCTCAGGGCGGCGCACAATAAACCCATAAAATCCATTAAATAATCTAAAAAGATAGTTCCATAAAACCCAACATCACATGGCACTGTAATACAATTCTGGCTCCCCGATTTGCATTCGCAGTGGGGGGGAGGGGGGAAAGCAGTTAGTGAACCGGCTAGTTGTTAGAAACCGATTAAAACTGTTAAAGCCCATTACTGTCCTCAACTGTATGCTTGGCGGAACAACAGGCCCCGCGGAATCGTAACAGACCCTGCAGGGCCCTGATTTTAATAGGCAGAGGGTTCCACCACTTCGGAGCCAGGACCGCGAAGGTCCTGGCTCTGGTGGAAGACAGACAGAGACTTTTTGGGCCAGGGACTTCCGGTAGGTGTTGGTCACTTGAGCATAAGGCTCTCCGGGGGACATACCAGGAGAGGTGGTCCTATAGGTACGTTGGTCCCTTACAGTTTAGGGCCTTAAAGGTCAAAACCAAAACCTTGAGTCTGACCTGGGACTCAACTTGAAGCCAGTGCAGCTGGCGAAGCACAGATTGTATGCACCCAGTGTCTTATGCTGTCCACCTGCATTGTTTTTATGTTCTGTAATTTATTATTCATTTATTTACTTTACTTCCAGGCACACACAGGCTCGATTCTGATCATGACCACACTGTGGGGCTACAAATGGCTTCGGCCCTCTCCCTGCCCTCCTTTCGTGACCTGAAATGGCTCCATCGAGTTGCTTCAGGGGGAAACTTCTAAGTTTCCTGCTAGAGGAAACTGTGGTTCTCCCCAAGACCATTTCAGGGCACAAAAACAGTATGGAAGAAAGACAGCGGAAACCATGTGCCATGGTTAGAATCAGGCCTACATGTCTTGTACAAAGTCATGAGGACTTCGGTGAATTGGCCCCAAATGCACAAAGATGAGGCAGGCTGGAGCTCACCCAAGCCCTGGACACCTAGACCATCCACCTTAAGTGCCAAAACCCGCCAAATTCAAACTTCTGTTTTGCCAATCCCTGCTCTGTCCACCAGGTTCTGTAATTTTGTCCCTAAAACCAGGTTTTTCCTCCACGCTTCCAAATGTACACCCCCCCCAAAAAAACCTTTTGTGGCATCCCTACTTCATCAACCCCTCTTCTGGGCATGGAGCAGGTCACTGCGGGGGGGTGTGGGGGGGGAGGTATTTGTGAATTTCCTGCCTTGTGCCGGGGGTTGGACTAGATGACCCTGGAGGTCCCTTCCACAATTCTAACCTTTTGGGTCTTCATGATTTTCGCCAGACTGGCACACAAACACAGTACTGATGTATTTAAAAATTCTGAGAAGTTTTCACTTCCACTTAAGAGCAATGCAAGATTTAGAAGGTTTTTTTTTTAAAGGAATGGTCATGGGAAGTGGGCTAGGGTTGCCAACCTCCAGGTAGGGGCTGGGGATCTCCCAGAATTACAACTGACCTCCAGAGCACAGGAATCCGTTCCAGGTGGACTGGGGCATCTCTCAGCCTCACTGAGCTTCCTCCCCAAGGAATTCCCCGAACCAGAGTGGGCGATTCTAATTACTGTTGCCAACTCCTGGCTGGGAAATCCCTGGAGATTTGGGGGGGGGGGTTGAAGGCAGGGGAGGGGCAGGGCACCTCAGTGGGGTGCAATGCCGTAGGTGGGGGTTACCCTATTCTGAAAAGCGAAAAAGAGGCCATATTACCTGACTGACTACTTCAAGCAAGTGATCCCTAGGGCAAATCTGCTTTGAAATTACCCCCCCCCCCTTTCCACTATTTCAGCTGAAGCTTGCCTCCACTTGGGGGGCAAAACAAGCTCAGCACCCCAACCCCCAAAAAGAGGCCATTTCCCACCAGTTTTTTAAAAAGAGCCCGGAAGAGGAGGGACACCCAAACAAGAGGAACTGTCCTCTAAAAAGAGGGCACCGGGTGACCAGTGTTCCCTCTAAGCTGAGGTCGTGTGAGCCAGCTCACAGTTTCTTACACATTTTTGCCTCCGCTCAGGAAGGGATGTGGCTCCAGAGCAAACTCAATTGATGCAGGAGCCCAATCGCTCCCTCACAACTCTAATGCCGGCGGCTCACTGAGTGGAATTTTTGCTCACGAGATTCCACGGCTTAGAGGGAGCATCGCTGGGGGCCCTACACAAGAGCCCCCCCTCCAATGTTCCCTCTAAGCTGTGGAGTCCTGTGAGCAAAAATTCTACTTTGTGAGCTCCTGGCATGAAAGTTGTGAGCGAACAATTTGGCTGCTGCATCAATTAGTTTGCTCTGGAGCCACCTCCTTCCTGAGCTAAGACGAAAATGTGTGAGCTGGAGGCTAAAGAACTGTGAGCTAGCTCACACTCACTCCGCTTAGAGGGAACACTGCCCCCCTCCCCAAAGCGGCCATTTTCTCCGGAGGGACTGATCTCTGGGGGGGTCTGGGGGGACCAGTGCTTCCTCTAAGCTGAGTGTGAGCTAGCTCACAGTTTTTGAGCCTCCAGCTCACACCTTTTTGTCTTAAAAGGTAAAGGTTCCCTTGCTCGAAAGCCGACTCTAGGGTTGTGGTGCTCATCTGTTTCCAAGCCGAAGAGCCAGCACTGTCCAAAGACGTTTCTGTGGTCATGTGGCCGGCATGACTAAACACCAAGGTGCACGGAACGCTGTTCCCTTCCCACTGAAGTGGTACCTCTTTATCTACTTGCAATTCCTTGCTTTCGAACTGCTAGGTTGGCAGGAGCTGGAACTAGAGACGGGAGCTCACTCCGTCACGCGGCACTCTCAGGTCTCGAACTGCTGAACTACTGATGCACCGCAGCTCCTTTTTGTCTTAGCAGTCAAAAGGCTTGCTCACAGCTTTCCTGCCGGTCGCTCACCAAGTAGAATTTCTGCTCCCAGGACTCCTCCACAGCTTAGGGGGAGCATTCCTTGGGGACCAGTGCTCCCTCTAAGCGGAGTCAGTGCGAGCTGGCTCACAGGCAATGTTCCCTCTAAGCTGTGGAGTCTTGTGAGCAAAAATTCTACTTTGTGAGCTACTGGCATTAAAGTTGTGAGCCAGCGATTTGACTCCTGCAGAAATTAGTTTGCTCTGGAGCCCTCCTTCCTGAGCGAAGACAAAAATCTGTGAGCCAGAGGCTAAAAAAACTGCAAGCTCTAGCTCACACCAACTCAGCTTAGAGGGAACACTGCTCACAGGTGGTTTCAGCCTCCGGCTCACACCTTTTTTGGCCTTCAGCCCAGTCGCTCGGCCGCCCTCAACCTGAACGCCCGCAGCTCCCAGAGTGGGATTTTTCTGCTCAGGGGACTCCACGCAGCTCAGAGGGAGCCCTCCACGCTGGGGACCAGCCGTGATCCCGGGAGCTCTCCCGGCCCCACCTGGCGATCCCTGGGCTCTCCCGGCCGCACCTGGAGATCCCCGGGAGTTCTCCCGGCCCCACCAGGAGATCCCGCCTCCCGGCCGACCGCAGAGAAAGGGAGGGGGCCCGAG